CAGTTTGCACTGTTTTGACAGGTAGTTCACCAAGGGGTATAAAAGGCAGACGGCTGGTAATCGACAATCCCCGAAACTACCAAATCTCTCGGGGCAGAACTTTTGGAGGCAATAGACCGCTGTGTCCGAGCTCTGATAGCCTTTGTTGATCTGCTGTTACCTGTGACAGTCAGGATGGAACTTAACAGAGCAGAACCGGTAAGAAAAAACAGTTGCAGGATGCAATCAATCTCTCACGGGCAACGAAATTGCATTTCTATTTCTATTTGCATCTCAGTAAGATGTTCCACTAAACTAATAGACAGCGAAGAGTACTGAAAACAAAGTTCATTGTGGTTAGTGCATGGCCAAGCGGATAGACGAGTGCGAAAGATGCGCGCGCGAATTCAGACGCGAAAGAAAACGGGTAACTGTGGGGGCTATGGGAAATGGAACCTTTAAAAGCAAGGGAAATGACCCGTTTTATGGCCTCCTCGAACCGGATGAGTATTAGCAGCGAAGACTTACCAAAGTCAACCGATACGAGGGATAGCTGTAACCCAACGAGAACAGTGAACAGTAGTGTTCCCAAATCGTAAATAAACTGAGTTCCTTAGAAATAACCCGCTGAAAACCTCGAAATAGAATCAGAACAGAACAGACACTCATTAAACCGGGAATAGAACTGTTATTTTTACCGTTATTAAATTTTAAACCACATTCGAGGTGTGGTCCCTAGTCAGGAATATCAGTTGCGCCTCAAATGATCTCCGCATCAATCCATAACAACGAATTTCGGAATCCAAACGCCACCACCTCATCACCCACCAGTTACATTTTAGCCAAGTCCCAACACCCCTTCAAAAGTACTTTTGCTGTGTATCCGCATAAGGGAAATAAAACAGTATGTATATTATTGTATTTTGTCAGTGTAAAATGAAGATTAAACGATAAATAGATTTCTGGTTTTAAAAAACGCCGCTTGTATTGTCGTCTATCGCTGTCAAGTTAAATAGGTCAACCTAAGACTACTGAGATTCTCCATTTTCTGTTCGACTATACTTTCAACTTTCCCGTCTTTCTACTGTTCATCCACATGGGCAGCCAAAAGACAGCAACCTAAACCGCCGCACGAAAGTACATGGTTAATGGTTGTAAAAACTGAAACTGAAACTTCGGAACGGAATTAACGTACGATTCCAGAGTAGAAACTGTACACGAATCCCCTGCGCACGCACGCACATACACAACACAAACATACGTTTAATTTTAAACAAACATCATAGCAACGTAGTAACAGCCTAGATTCTCCGATAACGATAGATGCGTCAGTCAAGGGCAATTGCGATGAATAACTGTGAACATATCTGTCGCCTAGAGCATGCCAAGTAAGGATCCGGAGACACGGGTAGTACGATCTGATGGAAAATGCATCGAAAAAAGAAACAACGGCTTTCATGTTCTGAAAAATTGAGTGTGCTTTTATCTAGTTTTTATTTAACCTTTTTGAATTAAATAATGTATCCAAAAAAAGATGCTACGCAAGTCGAACTCAGTCATTCGATTCTCCGATGTGGTGGTAAATAGGGATCATGCGAAAATGTTGGCTATCAGCATTAGGCCCTAAAATAGACAACCAGAGTGAAAGTAACTGAAAAAATAGTAGACTACAGTACGTAGGGAAGTTTCATAGGTCTTTGTTTATACTATCTAGCCAATAGTAGACAAACCAATATGGTGTACTGGTATAGCTGCACGTACGCACGCATGCGCACACCATCCTTGATGCATGTGTGTGTGTAGACGCGCACGCGGAACATGCTGGCTAGTGCGGCGAATTACGCGTGTTTCAAGCACTCGCTGTCTACCCATCCATCTATCCATTCATCCGCTTGCTCGTCCGTCCGTCTGACTGCCTGCCCGGTCGGTCAGCCACCTTGTGCCCCGGTTTCGGCCGTGGAAGCGTGAACCCACACACAAACACAGTATTCTGGAATAGGCCAAATGTCCCAATGTCTGGTAAGCGCTATCAGTGAGGCGCACATAGACCAAGGGAGTTTGTTTGTCAGACAAATCAACTAGGGCCATGGGGTGTGCGCGCGATACGAAAAGAGAACCCAGACCAACTAGCCTTCCTCATGTGGTTCTTTCAGGTACCTTTATCGCTTTTGAATATGATGAAGCAATGTACCAATAAAGTTCCCCTGTAGTTGGACCAATCGTTTCTTAGTTTGGGAACAGCGAATAAGGCAAACGCCACTGTGAAAAAGCGATTAGCCACAAGCGAGCAGAAAAGGTTTCAAGAACAAGCAACTGACCAGTATATCACTGTTGAGCAAACCCACAAAATTATCTGAGTAGGTAAGGAAAGATCAATAACATGGTACTTAGCTGGTCCTCTATCAAGAATATATCGATCACCGAGACAAGGCGGTTTAACTAATCAATGCCAGAATGCGACCATATTCGGAATATGCCATATGCATCCTTATCACAAAAATATCCACACTCATCACATGACAGAAAATGAAGCTAAAGCGCCAGAATATCGACCATCTCATCAACCAACAGGGTGTTGTTTTATTCAAGGCTAAGT